GTCTTTCGATCGCGCGCGTGCCGCGGTTCTTTCCGTGTCGACAAACTACTTTGCTAAAGTTCAGGTCGCGTAGTTGGTCGTGTGGTGTTCCCTCTTGGGGTTCGTTGTTTTTCGCCGCGTCAACCCGGTTTACCCTGATAGGTTAGGGGTCGCTTTCTCGCGGTATGGCGACCGGTCTGTCGCAGGTCGAAAGGGACGCGATGACGCTTGAGGAAGGGGGCCCGTGTAGTGGCTTCCTTCCCTCAGAGGGGGAGNAAGATGACTGCATGGACACGGACACCGTCAGTGTTGCTGCCGGTCCTGGAGGCGGGTCCGGGTCGGTGGTTGACAGCATAGCAAAAAAGATGGGGTTAAGTTGTGAGAAAAAGAAAAGTGGAAAGAGAGGGCGATCAAGCGAAGAGTTCTCCCCCACTAAGAAAACTTCTCGTGCAATGTCGGATACACAGAGGCAACTTCTTCTCAATAAGTACCATCCGGAGTCCAGGGGTCCGTTTCTGGTACATATTGAGACGTGTAGGCCTCGGGGTGGCCCTGCTGGGGACCATAACCCCAGCCCTGAGGTGGGTGAGAAGACGGCCTCACTCAGTGTCATAGGGTTGGGTAAGAGACTCAATAGGTTGGTGGCAAGCCAGTTTATGTGTGCTCATGATTTACGTTCTATCGGNAAAAATAAGTTTTCTGTGTGCTTTCCTACAGGCAGAGATGCTAACAACTTTGTGGAACATTTCAAGAACGTCTCGGGGAACGTCACTCNCTCTGAGGAGTGGACTGCTCACGTCCCGTCGTTTCGAGTAGTTAAACAGTTCGTTGTAAGAGGCGTAGATGAAGAGGAGTCGGCCGAGGACCTTGTCGCGGGTCTGCGTCCCCCCCCGGGGTGGACACAAGAGTGGGTCCCCCCTTTTGAGGCGGTGAGGATTACTCGCAGATCGTCCAATGGCCCAGGAGGAGGTACGGTTTACGTAGGTACAAACCAGTTTATACTTAGGTTCCGTTCGAGTAGAATACCAGGTTCGTGTCTGTATTATGGAAAAAGGTTATCTCTGACCCCGTATGTGTATAAGGTCAGGAGATGCGAGTTTTGCCAGAGGTTTGGCCACACAAAGTTCACGTGTAAACAAACAGNTGACGGAAGCAGACAGNTTTGTGAGAGGTGTGCCAAGAGTGGCCACGGAAAGACCTCCTGCCCTAGTCACAGCGAGGAGTGCATTAATTGCGTCCGCTCCAGGGGAAGAGACACTGCCCATCAGGCCTCTTCTCCGGACTGCCCTTCGTTTAGGAGACAGAGAGNGATCAATAAACTAATGGCTTTTCGTGATTTGTCTTTTAGGGATGCGGCCAGGTTGTTGGATAGCGGGGTGAACCCGGATACCCACCTGCGTGGTGGGATGGGGCCCTCCTCTTCCATGGGCTCGTCCGTTNCCTTACCCTCACTGGCGGAGTTCTGGCCTCCTGCGGGGGAAAGAAAATTTCGGTTCTTAGCCGGGGACCGTCCTTCGACGCCCCGTTCCTCACCAGGTACAGGTACGTTCACAAAGGATAGTTCTCTCTCTTGCTCAATGTCCCCGCGTGGCCGTGGACAGGCAAGTTTCAGCTTTGGGGTCGGTGGGTCTGTCCCGTCGACGCTCTCTTATGCGGAGGTCACTGAAATGGGCGTTGTAACCCAACCGGAACCTCCGGACGATTCTCCATTCGGACTGAGTGAGCCCGGCCGGAATACGAGAAACGGGAAGGTTGACGGGGACCTTACACGGAGGAGCACCGTTCCTCCGCGTTCCTCGGGCTTAAACCGTCCGAGTAACCCCCTCATAACCTTCTCTAGTACGGGTGGCAGTGCTGTCTCCCAAATTCTTGACAAATATAAACTTGACAAAACGTCACCTTGTCACCGTCGCCAACTGGGGCCATTCCTGCCGTTGGCCAGGCGGAAGCGAGTTTGATGGAACAGATGTTCGAGCGCCCAGGAACGTCAACGGACGCTCTCTTCGACGCCGGGGTGGCAGAATCACTTTTAGCGGATGCCTGGGTGCGCTGCCAAAGGACGGAATCGGGTTCCAGCACGGAATAAAAGGCGAAGCAGCAATCTTTAAAGGGCAATCAGCCAAAAGAAATTTAATTTTATTTTTTTGTATTTTTTGTTTTGTGGTTTAAAGCAAGTGTGTGTTAACGCTTTGGGTGCATAATGCCCATTTAAATCGGTCAGTACTTGACGTGTTCCTTTTTGTTTTGCGTAGAGTGTAGTTTATTTTNGAGTAATCCTTTGAGATTAGGGATTACTCGTTGAACTGACATTTCATTGAGTTGACGTAGTTGTACAACTAACTATTTCAAGAATGAGCGAAACTCCGAAATCGGTTTCTGTAATAGTTTGATTGTTAAACAAAAAGTCTAGCATTGAACTTACGGGTGTTAAGTTTCCCACGAGGTCCAGACGGAGCCAGGTCAGCCTG